CATAGCAGAAAAAACAGCCTTGAGAATTTACTAGCCACCTAAGCCGACTCAGAGTTTACAAAACATTTCGGGTGATACTTGCAATAAGTGCTCCCAAAAGGAAAAAGGATTTTTATCCAAGGAAGATTTTAAAGGAAGATTTTTTTTTTAGGGGAGAAGGTCAACTGTCCCGATTTTCCACGGCTCGTCCCCCTCCCCATCTCCTGAGTTGGCCGTTTTGAACCATGGGAAAAGGAGAGAAATGGTCTTTACTATGGCCAGACTGGTTGGATGGGGCTGGTTTCTTGGAGCCCACGTTTGGGATGGCGATTCCGTCTTTCTCCTTGGCGCTGCTCTCCTGGCCCACTTCTAGGACCTGAACCTGGGGCAAGGCTGCGTTCCACTTCACGATGTACTTGGGCCCCAGAGGGACCAGACTGCTGATCTCAAGCTGCCCCCTGCGAGAAAGAAAACTCAGGTTTTTGTTTTTTTTTAAAAGAGAGAGAGAGAGAGAGAGGATGGGTACACTCTGCCTCCAGGCTCACAACAGCCCGGGAAAAATCTGCAAGACACACTTTAAGAAAGCAGCAAGCAGATTTTGCAAGGAAATATTAATTCTTGAATCGAGCCGTTCAGACACCAGAAAAAAAGACAAAAGGAAACAAAATATAACCCTCCAGTTCCACTGTTTGTTTTTTTTCTCATCCCAAACTTTTTTTAGTGGCGGTGAAGCTTTCTTCCTTACATACCAGGATGGCGATGTGGGGACGTAAAACGCCCTCACTCCCAACACCCAGTTCTGCGCCCTGTGGGTGCTAATTCCTCCTTTGCCAAGGAAGAAAACCAGGAATTCCTCAACGTACAACCGCAATCGCTGCCCGAATTTCCATGGCTAAGGTCAGTATAAGGTGGAGAAATGAGTTGCTTCAGTCAACTCAGGGTGGACTCAGCCTTCCGTCCTTCCGAGGTGGGTCAAATGAGGACCCAGATTATTTGGGGGGCAAGAGGCTGACTCTGTAAACCGCTTAGAGAAGGCTGGAAAAGCCCCGTGAAGCGATATAGAAATCCAAGGGCTATTGCTATTAAGAGCCGTGGGGGCGCAGTGATTAAAATGCAGCATTGCAGGTGAATTCTGCCCACTGCCAGCAGTTTGATCCTGACTGGCTCAAGGTTGACTCAGCCTTCCGTCCTTCTGAAGTGAGGACCCAGATTGTTGAGGGCAAAAGGCAAACTGCTTAAACAGGGCTGTAAAGCACTGTGACGCAGTATATAAGTCTCAGTGCTGTTCCTTCCTTCCTTCCTTCCTTCCTTCCTTCCTTCCTTCCTTCCTTCCTTCCTTCCTTCCTTCCTTCCCTCCTTCTTTCCTTCCTTCCTTCCTTCCTTCCTTTCCTTCCTTCCTTCTTTCCTTCCTCCCTTCCTTCCTTCCTTGTTTTCTTCCTTCCTTCCTTCCTTCTGGTTAGAATGCAGTATTGCAGACTAATTCTGCCCACAGCCAGCAGTTCAATCCTGAC